AGATTGCCTCTTTTGGCTTCAAAGCAGACATTCAAAATTGTAGCGAGCCCAACTCTCATGCACGCAGGTAGTCCTAATAAGATTTGTCCCACGCTTTCACGATAACTGCTTTTTTCACTAAGCAAATGTGCAGCAGGATAGAGCAAACTTTTTGGCTACAGCATACTCCTAAGAATATTTTTTGCAATATTGAATAAAAAATTTGATTTCAAGTGAAGGCGAGTGACTCGCACCCTAGAAATTCGAATGCCATTGCGCGAAAGAAAGTGGAGAATCATAATGTAAGAATATTAAAATTGCTTCATTGACTGACTTCAACTGGATACTTATATATGAGAATTATAAAAAGAAATTTAGCCTAGGAAGGCCTGCTGAGCTCCTATGGCTTTCAAATCTGTTTTGAAGACAGACGACCAATGACATGCAGGTAACATTCGCAAACTTTTTCTTTCAACAAATTTTGGCAAACGCAATACTACGATGTGATAGCACAAAGCCTCCCTTACAAAGTGTGCATTGAAGGATTGTAGAATAACTAAGGTCTCTAGCTACATGATAAGATATTGGTATTAAGAATTTTGATTTTCTTTCTCGGCAAAAACACTTGTCTAATTGTTCCAATTCTTACAAGAGTGTTAACAAGCATTTCCAGCTAGATAAATTATAATTTGGAGAGGATGGTCGTAGCATTATGTGATAAAAAAATTGGAATCAAAATCTTAAGTAGTTCCGTGATTTGCAACATGGTCAAGTTCGCTCCGAGAATTTTGACGCACTCTGTAATGCAAAAATCAAATTCTTTTTGTTGTTACATTTATGAGAGGAAACAGGAAGAAAGCTTCCTTTCTTTTACATTCTGATGTGATCCTCGGCTGTAAGCAAACTTCTACTCCTCTCAGAATTATAACCGACTTTTAAACTAAATATTGGTGTCCAACTCAATACTCTAACAGCTATGGATGCTTGGATGGCCGAAATGGAGAAGGTTACAATGGCTGTTGGCAGTACTACTGCGGGGTATAAAGACTCAGAATTTACTAATTATCTTAGCTAGGTTGTAATTTCCAAGTATTAGGTTGAACACTAAATTTTGCAACTTGTTTCATAACTTCACTCTCATTCAACATGGCGCACTCAAACTTTGGCATCATGTAGAATGCAATGTGAGCTACAAGTGAGCACAAATTTTCTGAATTTTGAACACGGAATAGAAAAGTTTCAGGCATTTTTCGAAAACTAGTAAAATTTGAGAATTTTTGAGATTTCAAGCTAAAATGAAGCCTTTGGCAGCCTAGACCATGCGCAGTAATCCGGATTCGTCTATAAATTATTGCAAGAGGTTGACTCCTTTGGCCTAGCAAGAAGAAACAAAATTTATGGGCATGTCGAGATTTGGCGTCCTCATAAAGTCGAACGAGTTGATGTAAGCAAGAGCTGCTGGGGACGACCGTCAATGACTAAAGAGGCCGAAGCTCAAATTCCGCCGAGACTTCACATAGTAAGGTTATTTGACCTGCCGAATGCGAATATCATAATCATTTGTTGAATCAACGCCTTTTTCCTTGTTTAGGGTGAGACCCCATATCGTACACCTACAGTAATCCCACAAAAAAACCCTTATCACGCAATTTCACTATCGCTTTCGTGATCAGCATGTCGGATAACATCCCTATGCCAAGTTTCAGCCAAATCCGTCAAACTTTGAATTTTTCCCCTTCATACCATATAACTACCGTAACTCTCACTGCGACGTCAGAATTTGATAGGACAGCAGCTGCGCTTGTAGTATACATAATATCCAACACAGTGGCAAAATTTGAGTGCACCATGTTGCGTGAGAGGGAAGTTATGAGAAAAGTTGCAAAACTTAGTGTTCAACCTAGTATATCTTGCTGTTAAGTAATTTTTGAACTTTTAGTCATGCGATATTCAGCAACAAAAATTGGATGTGCTGATCACATATGCCATGAGAGCAATGTATATAAATATAGGGCATATTGTATTACCAATGCTCCATTAGTTCCATTTTCTCTTATATTTTCAAAGGAATCTTATATTGGATGATCTTTGCATGCTTGATAGATTTTGAGCAGATTTTGCACTATGTTTCAGCTTTTCCTGAAAGGAGAACACGCTACAAATTTAACATCTTCAGACGCCGAAGCAATTGAAAGCAAGAAAATATAAGTTTCGCGGACAACTTCGCTGCAAGAGAATTACAGCACAAAATATGAAGTGAGCAGTTTACGAAAAAAGATTAGATTTCTGTGATTGCACATGGCTGCTCGTGAAGTGACGTGGCAGTATTACAAAATACAAAATCCTCGAGAAGTTTCTTTATGTTAAAATCCTTAGGAAATTCTGCATTTTGGGGAATTTTTTCGAGGAGATTGTGATCCTCGGGAAGGTCCTAAACTGCGTTGCTCTTGACGTCAAAATTCTCGTGGAATTTTTTTCTTTGCGCTTCCAATCACGGCTCGGCACAGGTGGCTTGTAAGCCAGCTGGTATCGTTTTTTGGGACGAAAAGCAAAGGGGGTTTCGTTTTTGTGACCGAAGAGACACGGAAAATTGGCGACGGCAATTTTTTTTTAGTCGACGTTTCGTTTTTTGGGGGATTTTGGGGAATTTTTCAGGTTTTTAGAGGAATTTGGTTGAGGGTCAAAGGGGACTTCGTAAAAATTCCCAAAAGTCAAGGGGGACTTCGTTTTTTTCTATTTTCATCTAGCCACCTCGTGCCGAGCCCTGCTTCCAATCACATGTGTACTAAATGAAACCCTTGAGAAGTTACTAAGATCGCTTGTCTTCAAGAGGTTCCAGTGAATTGTATGAGCCCCTTATTGCCGCATCCATCAACCTTCCCCGCCGGGAAGGGGAAATATTCAAAATAAAGTTTCATATCCTAATGCTCCAGATATCTAAATTTCAGGCTACCTATGCGTAACTATTCCTGCTGTCCTTTGCAACAAACATAATGAACGGGAGCTAGAAGCTATACAAGTTTTTCAGTTTTATAATCCCTTGGTAATCCCTGGCGGTCGACCGTCTTTTTTTTCAAAGTCATTTTTTTAATTAACGAAAAACCTTTCGCGGTTATACTGAATTATCTAACTTATTGGTGCTAAGCATGGATAGGAACAAATGAGTAACTGAAATACAAAATTTTCGAGAAACCCCAGCTTTCTTGTGGTTTATCACAAAGTTATGATTTCAACAAATTTTTTATTCTTACCAGAAAAATCCTTAACACAGAGCCAGATAATTTGAACATGAAATGCTTTCATCGAGAAGAAAAGAAATGACTTTGAACAAAGGAAGGTCATGGATCATTATGGGGGACTATCAGGAGGTCAAAAAGCTGGAGAGAACGGCTTCTACAATTTCTAGCTACTGTTCATTATGTTCATAGTGAAGGATAGTAGGAATAGTTGCGGAGAGTTAGACGGTAAAGCCAAGCTGGAACCGTTGCAGCTAATCAGGGAAAGATTGAGTATCGCTTTTATTGACATAAACTTCCATGGATTTTTGGGCCATAGTTCGAGTCCCAACGGGGGGGGGGGCTGTGCAAATTGAACACCGGAAAAGATATCCATTCTTGCTTTTCCCTTGTGATCCACATTGGCCCGGTTCCAGCTGTGGCGGGCCCTGCTAACAAAAACGCTCAGCAATCCATCGCGGCAAACAATTAGCCCAAGCTCTATTGCATGCGGTGGGCAGCAATGCGTTCTGCACTCGCCAATGTCGAAATCGCGAGCACTATGCCCCAGGCTTAACGTGCGCCCAATAAATCATGAATACTATCTTATAAACGCTGCAGTAGCAACAACATAATACTCAGTGCTCTGAATGCACTGCTGTTAGCAAGGGTCCCAACGCGGAGCTAGATTGATTGTTATGGTATTAAATGTGTGGCTAGAGTAACTTGAAGCAATGTCTAGAGGCTCTCTACAACACTACATCATTTCTGCAGGCTACCGCCTTTTGCCATACTGAAGCAATTCCAGTAGTGACGCGATGTGGCAATATAATATTCAATTTTTTATATGAAAGCATCCTGAATGCACGCATTTTACTAGTCTACGAGAGCTATGAATTTGTAGTCTGCCAGTATTGGAATGATGACATGGCGAATGCCAAATTTCGTGGCCACTGAAATCGCCAGAAGTGTGCTTAGGGCTTTACAGTTGTTACAGAAGAGATATCAACGATACAGTTAATACGTGATTTCAAAACATATATTGTATATTGTTTACAACGTTTTCAAATGGAGTGTTTGTTCTTTTACTGCTCGCTGTTTCATGCCTAAATCAATCTAAACTAATTCTCGAAAAGCTTTTTGATGTTTTCCCGAACTTCGAACATCATGAGTGAATCTAAGAAAAAAAATCAGGAAATGACAAAAGCACGGAATTAGAGGTGTTCGATGGGCATTATCTTTTCTTATCTAAACCTTGCTATGCGAACTTTTTCGCTATCAAAAAAGCTGCGCGTGTTAAAATTGTCAAGTCTTCCCCATTATATAGTTGGGAAGGAACCATACCAAAAAGCGCTGCGTTGAGTAATTTATTAATTAGAATCTCTTTTTGCTTGCCGTAAGCGCTCGGAAACTGATTTTTAGCAAGGAAGTGACATGTACTTTTAATAGCCATTAGCTGATTTACGGGGTTTACTTTAGAAAATCTTGAAGGTGTAGATTGTCTCAATGTAAATAATGATGATACGTGTATGCTGTCAACCTTATGACTTGGAAATGAAAAAAATTGGAAAAGTTGCCCCATTTTGCAAATAAAGTAGCTTGATGGATTAATTGTACATCCGAAACAGAGGAAAATTACATCTTCTTGTTGGTACAATAGCATCAAAAGTGGTATTGGTTTTCAAATATAGCTTTGGATTTCTTTCCGATGCAGTTGATTAGATTTGATCAGCTGATTGTTTTGAGGATTTTATTCCCAAAGCTTTGTTTTCGAGGTAGTCAGACACCAACGAATGAATTGCTCCAATGAATGCGGAAATTGCGAAACTGATGATTGTGGATACAGCAGGCTTTGCTTTTTCTGTTGCGGCGGTAGGCAAAGCACTTGAGAATGAGAAGGCAAGGTGCTTAAACTTTTTAGAGTACTTAACTGGCATTTACCGATATAATCAGTCAGCAGACGAAAGCGACGGCTAAAACAACTCAAATTGTCCTTATGTGATTGATTATTCAGTATTATCCGATAATATAATGTTATAAAGACAGTGGCGGCAATTCGCTCCATCAGACAACCATGCTAGCTCTAATCGTAGTTTCCGAGGTTAGTTCAACGCCGTAAATCTCTCTATTAGGTTATTCCATAAATCCTTTCATACTCGCACCTTCAAACTGATATTTCTCAAAAACTAAGGCATTTAGAAGGGTGCAAATTTTTGCGAGTACAATACCGCTCACATTTTTTGAAAAAAAGACGCGAATGTATGGACATGTATGGACATGTACGGACATGTCCATACATGTATGAACATGTCCGTACATGTATGGACATGTCCGTACATGTATGGACATGTCCATACATCAGCGTCGCGTGGCCATATCTCGCTTCAGAGTGGACGAATTCTGAATCCAAGGCCACCGTTCGATTCAGCTCGGCGCGGAGAATCTTCTGATGTATTGGAAGTGGGGGTACGATGTTTTCGATATTCCGTTTCCAGTTTTTTTTAATTTGTTCTGCGGAGGTCCTTTCGCGAATATGTGAAGCAACGCCTACCCAACATAGAAGACTTTACTAAATACTATTCGATGATACTGTTCTCGTAAATTATTGTGCGCTAAAAAATAGGCTCAGACTTCTTATCAAAGGAGGTGAAAGCGTTGGTGAATTTTGGAAAAATCACGCGTTTCTAAATTCTACTCGCCATAACTTCCTTCGGAATAAGTATATTTTGAATCCGAAAACTGCGCCTTGCTCAGCTCATCACGTCGAATCTTTCTATGTACAGCATGTCCTTGGTATTTCGATTTCAGTATTCTTGAATCTTTCTGAGGACGTCTTTTCGCGAAGGTGTAATGCAGCAAACATTGTCCCGAGTACATTTCAGCAAGGATCCTTCGATAGCACTTTTTCTGTAGATTATGATGTGCTAAATAGTAGTCGCAGGTTTCTTTGTAAAGGAAATAGAAGGGCTGGTGAATAGTGGAAAAATCTTGTCGTCCCAAATTCTACTCGCCATATCAGGAGGATACGAAGCTATCTTGCTAAGCAGATGTGAGTTTCGAAATCAGCAGGTCGCATAACCTCTACGAGCAAGTTTTCCGATATGTTCGGGTCCTTTCATTTTTTCTCGCTTTACGGAATCGCGCCGATGGATTTTGGTCAAAATGTTGATGCTCTTGAATTGTAAGGAAACTTCGCTTATAGAGGTTTTCGAACACGCTCTTTACGAAAATCGTGGTCTTTGAGGATTACAGGGTCTTTTTGAAGAGATACGGTGAGGTGACTGTAACTTCATCACGAAAGTACGTAACTTTGGTCGCACTTCTCGCGTATCTGTCAGAAACCTTGCCTGCTTGCGTTTCTCAGTCAAAGTTACTAGGAACTGTGCTATCGAATGGTGTATTACTCAGGCTCCAGTCTGTGAAATTCGCCGAGTTACGAGCCTACGAATACACGTCCTCATGAATTTTGCCCAAGATGTAAAGATCGCATATCTCGTCGAAATTCCTCCGTGAGCGATTGTATGACGCTCGTTGCAGATATTATGTTCGCTTTGTCGAACGACTCCCACTGGACTGAATATGGTGCTTGCCTCTGCTTCAGCTGCTCAATTGTCAATTGAATATCAAAGCTATTTCGTGGCTAGAGCTCAAAGCACCAAATCTAACACAATAAGATCCATTAAAAATATGGAGGGATTTGATCAGCGCATTGTATTAGGTCATTCGGATAGTTTTTTCCTTTTTGCGCCTTTGATGTTGATATATTTTAAGAGGGTGTCAGGGGGCTGTTAAGGGTTGCCATATATCTGTAGAGGAAGTCTTCTAGTTTTTGGGATTCCACCGAAATTGCAGAAAAAGCTTTGTAGGGAAGTTTACGCGGCTCTAAATTCGACATACGAAAACGCGATTATCGAATAATTGTATTCTCTAATTAAATTTGAGCGTAAGACCGTTGAGGAAACCATCATTGTGCGCAATGCATTTGCCAAGACCACGTCTTTTTTGAGGTAGGTTCAAGTTTACTTCAGAAAGTTCAGATCTAGAGAAGTGAAAGCTAATATTTTGCAGTGTCCTGGAAGGTGTTTCTGTCATATAAACGAGCATCTCAGAGGGTCCTTTAAATCGCAATTATAGCTGCGTAAAATTATCAGCAGGCCCTGAAGTGTCATATAACCTTATTAGGAGCCACCTTCGCTAAAGCTGCAATACCGAAAAATTTCAGCGACATGTACCCACAAATGTCGCAATCGCAGTTTGAGGGCGCGTTGACTCTGCTTTCGTCGCTCATAATTTTATGTAGCAATCCTTTTCCAGCCTGAGTTATTAATTACAGCAAAAAATTGAATAAGTGCGGCAATGAGAAGCGACAATGTGGTAAATCATTTGGAATAAGCACTGAAAGCATGACCAGAACAATCTGTCATTCCAAAAGGTTGATGCACTCAAATTAATGTAATCCTGCTGGTCTTGTACGCTATAAACTTGCTAAAATGCTAATGTACTGTAAGAGCAGAGTAGTGTGATGTCGCTCTGAAGACTGTTTGTCAAAATTTCAAAACTGAGCAGACTTGCACGTATAAGCTATGAGAGATGCCATCCACGCTCATGACTCCGCCAAACCACATGTAAGAAAAGTGGCTCTCACAAAAGGGGTTGACTGCGCACCGAGGTTCCTGTTTATTTTTCAAACTCTTTAGACTTTCCTTTACCAGTCATCGAATTTTCCAATTCCTCGGTGCCTATTAAAAAAATAATAGGACCTAATAGAGATTGACTAATCAAAAACGCCTTTTCAGGCTTTAGCGATTCCTCTGAGATCATTCCGCAAGAGAAAAGCACAAGAGCACTATAAGAGCATAACCAGAAATTTGCTGAACACAATGCAGTTTATTTGATGGAAAAAGGCTGAATCAGGGAAAAATTGTGCTCGTTTGAATTTGGAGGTGCAAAAACGAAAAAACTTTGCGAATGACCTAATACAAGCGCTCGCGGAGGAATTTCGACGAGATATGCGATCTTTACAATTTGGGCAAAATTCATGAGGACGTGTATTTGTAGGCTCGTAACTCGGCGAATTTCACAGACTGGAGCCTGAGTAATACACCATTCGATAGCACAGTTCCTAGTAACTTTGACTGAGAAACGCAAGCAGGCAAGGTTTCTGACAGATACGCGAGAAGTGCGGCCAAAATTACGTACTTTCGAGATGAAGTTACAGTCACCTCACCGTATCTCTCCAAAAAGACCCTGTAATCCTCAAAGACCACGATTTTCGTAAAGAGCGTGTTCGAAAACCTCTATAAGCGAAGTTTCCTTACAATTCAAGAGCATCAACATTTTGACCAAAATCCATCGGCGCGCTTCCGGAGCGTAAAGCGAGAAAAAATGAAAGGACCCGAACATATCGAAAAAACTTGCTCGTAGAGGTTATGCGACCTGCTGATTTCGAAACTCACATCTGCTTAGCATGATAGCTTCGTATCCTCCTGATATGGCGAGTAGAATTTGGGACGACAAGATTTTTCCACTATTCACCAGCCCTTCTATTTCCTTTACAAAGAAACCTGCGACTACTATTTAGCACATCATAATCTACAGAAAAAGTGCTATCGAAGGATCCTTGCTGAAATGTACTCGGGACAATGTTTGCTGCATTACACCTTCGCGAAAAGACGTCCTCAGAAAGATTCAAGAATACTGAAATCGAAATACCAAGGACATGCTGTACATAGAAAGATTCGACTTGATGAGCTGAGCAAGGCGCAGTTTTCGGATTCAAAATATACTTATTCCGAAGGAAGTTATGGCGAGTAGAATTTAGAAACGCGTGATTTTTCCAAAATTCACCAACGCTTTCACCTCCTTTGGAAAGAAGTCTGAGCCTATTTTTTAGCGCACAATAATTTACAAGAACAGTATTATCGAATAGTATTTAGTAATGTCTTCTATGTTGGGTAGGCGTTGCTTCACATATTCGCGAAAGGACCTCCGCAGAACAAATTTAAAAAAACTGGAAACGGAATATGGAAAACATCGTACCCCCACTTCCAATACATCAGAAGATTCTCCGCGCCGAGCTGAATCGAACGGTGGCCTTGGATTCAGAATTCGTCCACTCTGAAGCGAGATATGGCCACGCGACGCTGATGTATGGACATGTCCATACTATACTTGGGTAATTCGATAATTTTTCATCGAATGAATGAATATCGAATAAATTCGAAAATAAAAAATCTCGAATAAACGAATATCGAATAAATTCGGAAAATCAAAAATAACGAATGAATGAATTTCGAATAAATTCGGAAAATCAAAAATATCGAATGAATGAATTTCGAATAAATTCGGAAAATCAAAAATATCGAATGAATGAATATCGAATATATTCGGACATTGGAAGTCGAATTTCGAATAAATATTCGAATGATTCATCGAATAACTAAAGCAATCACGTCTCAAACTTGCCGACATATCTGGCTAAAGCCGATCCAATCATAATCAGCCCCCTAGTATCTCCTATACCAACTCCTAGCTCAGAATTTTTCAAAAATTGCTTAAATCAATAAAATAGATTTCGGTTTTAATCAGCACCCTCACTTACCGCCTTGTACCACTCCCAACCTCGTAGCTCAAGATTTTCCTGTTCATCGGAGACTTTCGTCTTGCGTGGTATAAGCTAGTCGTGGACGAAGGCATGTGGTTTCCTCCGCGAAGCGAGCACGAATGCCCCTATGACCCCGGGCATACTGCAGGCATTTCAGTGGCGACGTGGTATGGCAATACTCAATTGTCCAAAACCTATTCTGAAAGTACAGAATGCAGGGCATTTATCATTTCGGTAAGTTGTACACGCTAAGCATTTGTATTAAGCTGGCGTTACATTTGAAGACATCTCGTAACTGGCAAATCGCGTACGGCGATCTAAACCGTCCAATCCTGCACTACAACTGCGATGTCCTTTACTCAGTATACATCAATTCTCAAAAAACTCCAAAGTAACAAAAAGGCAGTTTTGCAATAATTTATGCGAGCAAGAGTGCTCACTACTGTGGGCTTCGCTTACCGCAAGCATGAGCATGCAAAGAAGGAAGAACAGCCATTTCAATTCAGTATGAACTCAGAACATGAGCTTGCATTTGATATCTTCTTTGCTGATTTGGTGCCAATAGCAGTGCGAACAATCTCATTGATCAACATCAATTAAAATCCACATATGATTTTTTTACTGTCGTAAGCAGTCGGAAGAATGCGACTTTCCATACAGTTCAAAGGTATACCGGTTGCAAAAGATGCATTAACGAGTTTTGCAAAAGAAAAACGCGAAGTGAGCTTGATACTTAGCAGTTGGCTCTGCAACAAAGTCGAATAATCTGAATACGGAGTACATTCGAATACGATTTCGAATAAACATTCGAATAAAACATTCGAATAAAATCTATTCGAAACCCCGTTTTTTGATTATTCGAGTTTTCAAATAATATTCGAAACCTCGTTTTTTGATTATTCGAGTTTTCGAATTTTATTCGAAACCCTGTTTTTTGATTATTCGAGTTTCGAATTTTATTCGAAACCCCTTTCTCTCAATTATTCGAGTTTCGAATATTATTCGAAAATGGAAGAACTCCGAATATCGAATTTCGAATACGAATATATTCGAATGTTTTATTCGAATGATCGAATTTCTATTCGATTCGGACCCAAGTATAGTCCATACATGTATGGACATGTACGGACATGTACGGACATGTCCATACATGTACGGACATGTCCATACATGTATGGACATGTCCGCACATGTCCATACATGTCCATACATTCGCGTCTTTTTTTCAAAAAATGTGAGCGGTATTGTATTCTTGAGTAAATGAGATATGCAATCGCATGTTTGCGAGAAGCATAGACCCATTACAAACAAAGTTTGAACATTGAGCGCATCAGTTTCTTCTCAACTATAAGCCAGCAGAAAGATGCAGGAAGTGCATATATATAAATATCCGATGGGAAGATTATAGGCGTAAGCAAGTGTGAACATTGCAGTATGTTTTTGAACTGAGATTTGAGTGTTTTCGTTTTTTCAGGATTTTGGATTTTTTTCCATTTTGTCTAGAAACTCGATGCGGATCAAGCCTGGTACGAACTTTTAGAAGTCGTATTGCAGAGCTTGCTTTCATCAAATGGTACCCCTCATCCCTTTAGAAACCTAAGAAGAGCAGACTTATGCTGGCGAAAATTCAGATATGAAAAACTTATGGGACAACCTAATAGTAACGCACTATTCATCCTAATGAACGATAGGAAGATAATACTTCAGCGTAACTTGAATTCTTGGAAAGAACATTGTCATAAAAGGTTTTCTAGTACCTGAAACCCGATTTCCCTGCTATTATGCACTTTCATAGGCATGGTTGTGTATCACCCATGGCAATGCTAATTGTAAGGTTAGATATTCCATTACTCCTCACATTGGATTGCACGTATTGATAGCGGCATAAAGTGAATAAATAACAATTTTTTTTCGATGCTTGGTTGATTGAAACAAGATGCGATGCTCCTGAACTGCTTGCAATCTGTATATCATCTTTTCTTTTTTAATTAATCATCTCCACCGTTGTGAGGTCTCAAGATTACGACTATTACGACCCTGGTAAATGCTTTTGTATTCTCAGATTCAGCTGAAAGTAAAAACTCATTGAGATTACCCACCGCTTTGTCCTAATGGAAAAATGGACGAGTATACCATTGATGATTTCATTGTAAGAAATCTCAACGTCAACTATCGTCTACAGCTTCTAAAAGGAGTTGAAAAAATCGGAACTACAATGCCAAAAGGGAAAGTGATGAAAGCTTTGGTGAGCATGGGAGATTCCATTAAATTATGAAGTCTTTTACCGCTTCGCTCTTTGAAACGAGCAAAAAATGTTCAAAAAATTTGCTTACAGCAATGGGATTGTGATCTCGAGCAAGCAGCTATCAACGCTTTACCTGCTAACTGTCCGGAAGACAAACCGGTTGCTCTCGCAAATAAAACCGGAATCTTTTACAGGTAAGTTTAAAAAAAACAAAGATTGTAGCAAAAGCGAGATGAATGGGAACTGTAGATATAACGTGGATGGGATCAATAGATTTTCAACTTTTGGTGGAAGTGTCAATTAGGATGATTAGGATGTTAACCGATTAGCGTGAACAAGAAGCCAACGCGCTTACGAAAGAAAAATGAAATTGACTATCTTTTTCTTTGTTGACTTGCTCATGAGGCATCATTACTGGAATGATCTGAAAATTGAAGGTTACCCTTCGATTCAACTGGCTTAGCGGCTGGAAGATGGGGCTTCGTGACCTAATTAAGGCTAGATAATCACAGAGTGCACGCGCGTGACAGAGACGCAGACTGCGTTGCGAGCGCGAGCGGCCTTAACTGGGTCACGCCAAGTCAATTGAATAAAAGCCTGCTCTTGCTTTATCACAAACAAAATTTATCTGCTTTGCCCTAGACTTGTGAAATTTAAGTTTGAACATTGGAATCCAACCCGACATTCTCACGGCTATGGACTTTTGGACGTCCGAGAAGAAGAAAGTCTCAGTAAATGTAGACGGCACTGCAGTAAGATATGTTAACTCGAGCGTGACTAATTATCTCAATGTTAGTCTTGATTCTCTTGCCTCTTACCAACTTCCATATGTAAACTATTTTATTGCAGCTTATGCGATCAACAGCATCAAAAATCGGATGCGCGGAACACACATGCAAGGAAGGCGATCTCTACAAATTCAGGGCTTACTGCATCACCAATGCGCCGTTAGCTCATAACATTTCCGTCCACGTAAAAACTGAAAATCGTTTGAATTCTTCCAGTCCACTCCAAAACAACGATGTCATGTATGAAGTCGGAAATGGTGGTTGCTTGAAAGGTGACAACTGTCCAACTGGCAGCAACTGCGTCACTTTTGGACTTTGCAAGGACATTTAGATGAGTCGAGACAGCCAGCACATAGTACAGGGTGTCCCAAAAGTTAACACTGTTTGGTCGTTGATAACTTTCTTGCTTTTGAGTCTTTCGCCGAGCTTTAGGCACCATTTAGTAGAGCGAGGATAAACTTAGATTTACAGTATAAAGCGAATCATCTAGGCGCTCCTCGTTACTGCAGACTTACGGTAGGAAATTTGACAAGGATTTTTGGCCATTAAAGACCATTTGCTGCTTTGAAACAGAGCCAAACAAGCCAAAATCTTTTGTACTATTATAATGAAAGACGCTGATTTTGGAAATGAAATTTCCACTTTATTATGATACTTCTTTTCAAAGTTATCCGAGGTAAAGTGTAATAACTGACTTCCCAGCATTTGTCAGAAATGTAATTAGATCGCCAAAAAAGCTCGAAACACTCGCAAAAAGTTGTTAGGTGGAATCAGCATGCGCGAAAACCCTAGTACACGAATTCTCAGATTTTCTGAGACAAATTTTGTCAGAGGGCATATTTCACGACGGTTCCACATGCTGGAATTTCCTACCGTAGTCCCACAGTAACGAAGAGCGAACGGTGATCCGCTCCATACTGTGTATCTAAGTAGAACATCGCTCTACAGAATGGTGCCTAAAGCTCGTCGAAAGACATGAAATCAAGGGAGTTATTAATGATCAAACAGTGTTAACATTTTTTGGGACACCCTGTATATATTATACTTTGAATAATAAATATTTCAAAATTTTCAATGCAACACCGCGCAGGTAAACTTTCCAAGACGCAAGACTTAGCTGTTAGTTTTTTGATTCAAAGTGGGCTTTGGTGAACGACGCAGGTGGAGAACATTGCCTGCGGATTTTCAATCTGTCATCGATTTCTGCTGTGCCTAGATGTAGTTAAAAATGCTTTCGAAGTGAGAAATGGACCCAAAACCTGGAAATTCAATCGATTTTTCTTATAGTTTTATAGACGTGTGAGTATAAGTGGGTAAAAAAATATTTATTGCATAGATTGCCATATTCAACATTGCCCCCATGAATAAGATATAGCGAAAACAGATTAGGATCAGTCTTTAATGCTCTACATTATGATATGGGACTCATTTAAAAAGGGCTTTTGATCAATGTTTTTTTGTTACTACTGCATAGCTATTTCATTTTTTAACAGCCAAGCTTACGAATAAAAGGTGGTTTTTGTTACCTAGAAGGACGTGGTAGATTTTAGGCTGTTACATTCGCAAGCCTTGCAGTACATGTTCGGTTAAAAGAGATGCATCTCCCTTCCCGCGCTGGACACTGCGTCTCTTCTGCAAAACATGCTCTCCAAGCACTTTTTCTTTTTTCGAAATTGATTAGGGAGCATTTTCCGCGGAACGGGAATGGAGATGCTGAGCACCCGACACTTTAATTAATAAGCCCTGTACAAGCTTAGCCATAGCAGAACCAAAAGATTGGGCGGTTAATTAGAATTTTTAGTGCATCAATTGAAAGCAAGTTTCGCTTTTTTAGCCCAGATAATTTTTGGTCATACGACTATTGGCAACTTGTGTTCCAGCGCTATGGAAACGTCGTAAGTTGGTGGTGGCCCACAACGCTCGAGAGAATTTACCTTGTTCCGCAAATTTCTTCTCAAACTCTTGCAAAAAAAGTTATGGTCTCCTGGCAACTAGAGCATCACAAAAAGGCAGTCACCTGTGGATGAAATATTATCATAATTCCTCACAAAAACAATTTGTAATACTTGCGTCGTCTAATAAGTTGAAACTCTGCAGCTAAGCGGTGGCGGTAGAAGCAGTGACGGCGAAGCATACAGCGTTTTTGTTCTAAATCATTGGATGAACCAGAATAAATTCTTCATTCTTGCAATGGCCCTTCCGAATAAGATGTGAAAGTATTGAAGTGTTGAATCCATTTCTGCTTTCTATTAGTGCACAAGGTGCGATAAGGTGAGAATGACTCCTTAAGGTGAAAGGGTCGTAGTGGTCGCAGGCCCTCCAGGGTGAAGGGTGTTTCACTTGATAGAGAAATTGTAAAATGTCACCGAGGGAGAGGGATTGAGGGGGAGCGGAATGATGGTGTTCTCTCATCATTTTCCCTAATCAATTTAATCATTTTCAATTCTCTACCATCATTCGCTGCTTTTTTGTGGAGATTGAAGTAGGATTGGAAACATCCTGTCTGTTTTCGAAAATACCATAGAGTAGAAGATGTGTATGCAAGAACATCTGTTTCGGGAAAGAGGTAGACAATTTTTGAGCATTCACAAATTTTTGAAAAAAAATTGTAACTTTTGTAGATGAACAAAAACGTCAGCAAGAAAATTGTTTTCAGAACCATCTTTTCTTGCGCTTTCAGAAATTATAAATTAGGTTGGTAAGAAAGCTCTCGGACCTTTTCAGACTAGAACTGCTAATTTTCGAAACCCAATGCGTGTACGCCCGAGAGAGATACTCGATAGAGCAAAGCAAGCTCTATAAAAAGGTGTGCTGAAGCTCGGGCCAGCTGACCCACCGTAAGTTTGCATCCAAAATTGAGTGCATCCAAAACTGAAGGCTCGAAAACAGAAAAAATCATATCTTCGTTCAAAAAAATTCTACGGATCTCTAACTTGCTCACGCAAATTGCACACCATATCAGACACTCCTATGTACCGTTTCTGTATTTTTTCCTCATCTAAGAATCGAGAAAACAAGGATTTTTATGCTTGTACAAAAACGAAGCTACGCTGTTCTTATACGTTAACTGCATAGTACACCCCTTAGAAATATAACCGTGAATTTTTAGCTTTCCGCAAGCCCTAGTTTTAAAAAAATATTGATTTTAGCATGGAACACCCGAGTGAGGAAAACTCAATTCGGTAATTTTTGGAAACTAAAGCCTGTAGAAAGCTAAAAATTTACGGTGTACCTGAGGGGGTGTACTATGCATTCACACATGTGGGAACAACGTAGCTTTGCTTTTGTACTAGCATGAAAATCTTTGTTTTCTCGATTTTCAAATGAAGAAAAAATTTAGGAGCGGTACATATGAGTGTCTGATATGGTGTGCAATTTGCGTGAGCAAGTTGGAGATCCGTAGAATTTTTTTAAACGAAGATATGACTTTTTCCTCAGTTTTTGAGCCTTCAGCTCGCAAATTTTGGATGCAAACTTACGGAGGGTCGAAGCTTGTGCGAACTTTCGCATTATTTTGTAGAGCTTGCTTTGCTCTGTCGAATGGTATCTCTCGATGTACACGCAATGGGTTACGAAAATAAGCAGTTCTGGTCTGAAAATGTCCGAGAACTTTCTTATCAACCTATTAGTTTGTCTAGGAGTTTGTCTGGAGTCATTTCAAAAGAAAGTGCCTGGCGAAGCTCGTGGATAGTGATTTTCCAATATTTACGAACTTTTAGATAAAAAAATCCATAACTTCGGTAGATGAAGAGCTTATACACCGAGATGGTTAATATTGGAACCGCCTTATCCTGCATTTTCTGAGGATATATAGTCTACCTGGAGTCTCTGAATAAGTGCATGGGAAGGGAGCGAGTAGCGATTTCTGGATATTTACGAATTCTAAGGTTTAAAACATTCATAACTTTTGTAGATGAACAACTTTACAAGGAAATAGTCACCTTGGAACCGCCTCGTTTTTTCAAGAATAACATCTAAATAACCTACATTTCAAACTAAAAAGCACCACTAGTAGCTAATAAATATCGAGAGTATTTATTTGATGCCGATTATTACTCGGAAACAATTACTGTTAGAACAGATGACGTCGTATACGAGACGAGCCTATCCATTTCCTAGCTTATCATAACAGCTTACCACAGCCAAACTTAAATCGAGTTTCATTTTCATTTACATTTTCCCTTCGCTGCTACCTGCTGATACTGAAACTCAGATGTCAAAAGTCTTACGATGTAGCCGTAATCTGAGGCCAAGGGTCTACGAAGAAGAGAATTCAAGCAATTTGTAAGTATACTGCTGCATCTAATGGAAAATTGAATCTGAATAGCTACCGGAAATGGCTTTCGGCAGATGGAGCTAGACCCAGATGAGAATAAAAAATCATATCAATCCTAACAAATTAGAAAGGCACTATCACCGTTTACCCCTACTCGCTTCCCTTTACCAAATTAATGCGATTTTTTCTCGAAAATTCGGCGGATCAAGACATTCCGACGAATTTGTCGTCTCGCTTACTTACGTCGTGTTTCTCTTAAACTTCAATTTTTAAACAAGTAACCAAGAAATTCTGTGATTTTTGTGCAAGTAAGCGCCTGCTTCTGCCAATTTTGGGATTTCCCGTTTAACACTGTCTCTCAGGACTTTCTTCAGATGCCCAACGTTGACCTTGAAGGACATCATAAAGGTTTTTTAACATTTTATTTTTGAAACTTTTGATTTGTGGAAACTATGGCAGTCTTTCTATCCGTCCGCAACTTTTCAGCCTGCTGGCTCACTGAAATCTCTTCAATACAGTTGTCGAAAATTGATTTTTTGCCTCCTTGGATTTTCCATTTTGAAGCCAAGAATTTCTCAAATCTTCTTAAGCTAGAGAAATGAAATATAAAAATGAGAAGAAAAGCTTAAAGGCTTTCTGATGCATATATATCCTTATCAAACGCAGCATAAACTATAGAAAAAAGATGGAAGTGAAAAATGGGAGAAGAACTTTATACAACCTTAACGGTTGTCGTTCTGCATTTGCGCAACGACGAAATTGCGAGCACTACGCCTCAGGCCTGTTCGCTCAATAAGTTATTGAAAATTATCTTAAGAACGCTACAGTATAGCAAAAACATTCTAACAGTGCTCCACATGCCTGCTGCTAACAAGAGCCCAAAGCGGAGCGAGTTAACAGTCTCATGCTATCGACTGTGTATTTCTAATAACTTTAAATCGACATCTAAAGGTTTTATTACAAGGATCCGCCGCGCATCGCCAAGGCAGGCGAGGCCCCGAACATCAAGCTTCCCTGTCGTGACGCGATTTGGCAATATTCAATTTATTATACCCTCCATGAACGCATTCTGAATGTACCAGGGTAACTCAGTTTACCCACTATACGGAAGCTATGCAGTTCTAGTCTGCCAGTGTTGTATTGAAACATGGCGTTCCAGATCTCGTGCAACTGAAATTGCCTGAAGTGTGCCCAGAGTCTTACAGTAATTACAGAAGAGATATCGACGATGAAACAGTGTATACATAATTCTAAAACTTCTCCCACATTGTTTGAAATGTTCTAAATGAAGTGTTTGTTTCTCACATCCCGCTGTTTCATGCCGAAACTATTCTAAACTAATTCCCAAAAAAAACTTTTTGATGTTTACCCGATTTTTGAACATCATGATTAAATCTAAGAAAAAACCAGGAAATGACAAAAAACAAGGAAGTAGAGGTGTTGGATGGCATTACGTCGTCTTCTCATATCTAAAGCTTTGCTATGCGAACTTTCAGCTATCAAAAAAGCAGCACGTGTCAAAGTTGTCAGGTCTTCCCCGTTCTTAGTTGCGAAGGAACCATACCAAAAGAGTGCTCCGATGAGTGATTTATTGGCTTTTGTTTGCGTGCCGTAAGCGCTTGGGAACCGATCTTTGACAACAAGGAAGTGACATGTACTTTTGATAACCATCAGCTTTTCTGCGGTTTTGTGAGATTGCTGACAGCGGCTTACTTCAAAAAAAAATTGAAGGTGTTCGGATTGTCTCAATGAAAACTTATGATGTTACGGCTATGTTTTCCACATTATAATCATTAAAACTTGGAAGTGAAAGAAGTGTGGAAAAGTTGCCCCTCTCGGAGAAAAAATGCTTGATGGATGAATTATAAATCCGTCACCAAGAAGATTACATCGTCTTGTTGCTATAATAGCATCAAAATTTTTTTCAAATATAGCTTTCAATTTCTTTCCGATGCACTTGATCAAACTCATCAACTGATTGATTCAAAAATTTCATTCCCAAACTACTTTGTTTTCGAGATAATAAGATACCAAAAAATGAATTGCCCTAATGAATGCGGAAATTGCGAAATTGATGATTGTGGATACAGCAGACTTTGCTTTTTTTGTTGCCACGATAGACAAAGCAGTTGAGATCAAAAAAATTAAAGTGCTAGAATATTCTATACGTTCTCTGATCATAAATTATTATGAATTCAAAGTGCCTAGACTTTTTAGAGAACTTAATTGGCAATTATCGAAATAATCAGTCAGCAGACAATGAGCGACGGCTGAAACAACTCAAATAGGCTTTATGCGATAGATATTCGATAAACTATAATGTTTAAAAGGACAGTGGCGGCAATTCTCCATCAGCCAATGATGCTAACGTTCATCATACTTTCTGAGGTTAGCTTGCCTTTAATTAGTTCTAGTAATGCAATTATCGCTAATTAACGATAGAGCTGATACTTTAGCATAACTTGGTTAGAAAAGACATTCTTTTGAAGAATTTTTGATGTCTGAAACTCTATTTCCTTGGCAATTCTGCACTCTAACAGTCATAATTATGTATTACCCATGGTCATACTAAGGGTAGATGTTCCAGTTACCGCGCACATTGAATTGCATTTATTGTCAATGGCATAACGTTGAGAAGAACCTCTTTAACGATTTTTTGACTGCTGGTCTTGATTTTGCATCAGATATTGACCAACAATTATTGAGAGTACAAATTAGAAGACTGAGTACATGCTAACATTCAATTAATCACAATGAGTTCGCAAAGAAAACAGAAATCAAAAAGTAATAATAATCTCGAAAAATTCTTATCTCCGTTTCGATTCTCACGCAATGAATTATGCTTCACATCTATGCATATAAGTTTAGCCGTTATAAGATTGGGCCAGAATGCGCCCGCAAAAACTCTAAAGATCATGACTTTTTATTATAGTGGAGACGTTAATATCCGCTTGAATGAATGCAGAATCACTATCGACAAACCGTTATGTCAAATAGTTTGCAATATAATTTTGAACCCTAAGGCTCTTAAGAAAATATTACTTTGGAAAGACTGTGGATTAATGCGTATGGACAGATCAACTACAAATCGAAGTATATTTACAAATTTTAATCAAGTACCAGTTTTTTCCGATGCTTGGTGTATTAAAACAAGATGCCATGCTCCTGAACTCACAAGGGAACCGTGTCGAGTCGAAGTGGCCTTTCCAGATGAAATCCATACTGCTTTGAAGGGTATTAAGCGGTGATTCCAAATCTGCCTTCCAAATCTGCCAAGCGCCTCTGGACGCCGAGTTATGACCGTTCTTCGGAACGAAAAATGAATGCAGAATTCGGGTAAAATTGATTGTTACAATTTTTCCAGCGCTCAGATAAAACAAATGTTGAGTATTAGCATATTAAATAAAATGTATCCATTGCATAAACAGCTCTAATACTTAACACTGGACCATTTGAGCAAATTTGGGTGATTTTGCTTCAGTTTTGCGTTCAATTTTTTGACTTGAAAAACGAGCATAACTCGGCGTCCAGAGGCGCTTGGCAGATTTGGAAAGCAGATTTGGAATCACCGATTAATGCTCTTCAAAGCAGTATGGGTCTCATCTGGAAAGGCCACTTCGACTCGACACGGTTTCCTTGTCAGTTCTAATTTACAATCTGTACATCAATTTTTTTCTCTTTCAGTTAATCATCTCCACCGTTGTGAGGTCTCAAGATTACTATGACCTTGGTAAATACTTTTGTATTCTCAGATTCAGCTGAAAGTAAAAACTTATTAAGTTTACCCACCGCTTTGTCCTAATGGAAAAATGGACGAGTATACCATTGATGATTACATTGTAAGAAATCTCAACGTCAACTACCGTCTACAGCTTCTAAAAGGAGTTGAAAAAATCGGAACTACAATGCCAAAAGGGAAAGTGATGAAAGCTCTGGTGAGCATGGGAGATTTCATTGAACCATGAAATCTTTTACCGCTTCTCTCTTTGGAGCGAGCAAAAAAACATTCAAAAAATTGCTTACAGCAATGGGATTGTGATCTCGAGCAAGCAGCTATCAATGCTTTCCCTGCCGATTGTCCAAAAGACAAACCAGTTGCTTCCGCCAATCAAACCGGAATCTTTTACAGGTAAGTTTTTCTCGGAAAAAAAAGATTATAGCCAAAGCGAGCTTGAATGGAAACTGTAGATATAACAAGGATAAGATCATTAAGTTTTTCAACTTTTGGTAGAAGTGCCAAATAGGATGATTAGGATGATCCCTCATCAGAATGAACAAGGAGCGGACGTGTTCCCGAAAAATACAAAAACGACTCTCTTTATCACTGTTGACTTGATTCACTGTTGAGGCATTATTACTGGAATGATTAAAATTTTGAGATTACGCTTTGATTCAACTGGCCTGGAGGGGCTAGAAGACGGGGTTCGTGACCAATTAAGGTTGGATAAGCACAGAGAGCACGCGCGATACAGAGACGCAGACCGCGTCGCGGGCGCATGCGGCCTTAATTGGGCCACGAAGCTCCGGCTACCGGTCGCCAAGGCAGTTAAATCAAAGGTTACTCTTGCTTTAATTACAAACAGAAGTTACCTGCATTGCACTAGACTTGTAAAATTTTAGTTTGGACATTGGAATCCAACCCGACATTCTCACGGCTATGGACTTTTGGACGTCCGAAAAGAAGAAAGTCTCAGTAAATGTGGACGGCACTGCAGTAAGATACGTTGATTCGAGCGTGACTAATTATCTCAATGTTAGTTTCAATTCTCTTGCTACTTAGTAACTTTTATATGTAAAGCATTTCATTGCAGCTTATGCGTTCAACAGCATCAAAGATTGGATGTGCGGAACATACATGCAAGGATGGTGATCTCTACAAATTCAGGGCTTACTGCATCACCAATGCTCCGTTAGTTCATAACATTTTCATCCACCTAGAAACTGAAAATTGTATGTAATATTTTCAGACCGCTCCAAAACAACGATGTAATATATGAGGTCGGAAATGGTGGTTGCTTGAAAGGTGACAACTGCCCAACTGGCAGCGACTGTGTCACTTTTGGACTTTGCAAGGACAAACCATGAATTGAGACTGCTATTTTATAGCGTATGCAGTTTGAGAAATAAAGGTTTTTTTTTAAAACTTGTTTTTGAAGCTACACCCAAGCCCAGTTCGATCAGCACTTTTGTGTTAGGCCTTGCCTTCATCATTCCCAATCTTCGCAATGCTCTCTTGCAAATATTAGGTCGGTGCAAAAGTTTTGTCAGTTTTTTCAATCCATCGGCAAACACGTTAGAATAAAGATAAACTAATAATTCAAAATGTGTCCGATGCAGAATTTCTTCCTCTTTCCAGTTGCTAAACTACCATTCTGTTTTGTTGCGAGAGTGACGAGATATTTGCTGGAAGTTACAACCACTCGTTTTTACCATGCCCAATTTTCGCTAAATCTCAAAATTTTTGTATGAGACTTTCGGAGGTGCCCTAGTAACCAGCAGATAGGGCAAACCTTTTGCCAACTTATGCAATTTTTTCTTTTTTTCAGCTGCTTTCCCAGATTTTTTCGATACGATTTCCTGAAAGTCTTGTGTTTTGGAAAAATTGCATAACCTGTTATTGCACCAAACACTGCAAAACTTACAGAATACTGAGGTTTCAACACTCGATTATTACTACCGCTACCATTACAAAGTAAATGAGTGATTTTCGCTCCAAGTTACGAAGGTTTTGAAACATAGGTTACTTCAGTGCGCATTCCTGAAAATGAGAAATACTGCGATTTTCTCCACAAATTTCACCTGTCTCGGCAAAAAAGACAAGTGTTAGAAAGAGGAGAAAACTTCGCATTGAATGGAGATTGAACTGTTTAACAATTTGTGTTCTACGAGGTTAAAATAAGCTGAATGTGAAGTTTGGTTACTTCAAAAAATAAATCGTAGAAACTCTGAAAGACAAGCCATAAGGCTACAAAAAATTGCTTCTGTTGGCAAAAGGTTTGCCCTATTTGCTAGTTATTAAGGCTTCTCCGAAAGTCTCATACAAAAATTTTGAAAATTAGCGAAATTTGGACATGGTAAAAACGAGTTGTTGTAAATTCCAGCAAATATCTCGTCACTCTCGCAACGAAACACAATGGGAGTTCAACAGCTAGAAAGAGGAAGAAATTCTACATCGGATACACATTAAAGTGTTTTTTTATCTTAATTCTAGCGTGTTTGCCGATGGATTGAAAAAACTGACAAAAGTTTTGCACCAACCTGATAACATTCTGTGCATGCTGGATTAGTTCACACTCATGAACTAATACTTGTTCAAGACAATTTTGCTATTTTTACATTCAACAAGAAGTTAGGACGCACAGCGCGTAAATACAAAGTATCGCGTACCGGATTACTTAGTTTTGTAACGATGCTGCCGTGACGGCTTTTCCCAAATCCCCCAACGGGTTGATAAATTTATGGGAAGAAAAAAAAAACCGGACGCAAAACATTGAAATGTTTTGTTAGAAGTGACGCACTATATATCTTTATCTTTATCTTTTATTCATTCTCAACGGTTTACATTGTTTATGTATAAGACCGTGATGATATCATGTAAGGCTCCATTATGTCAGTAGTGGGACCGCATATGTAATACCAAGTGTTCTCCATACAGCACATTCCACTCTTAGCTCCTGCCAATTACAATTAGGTTTATACAATATATCTTGCAATGCTTACGGATGTCGTCTTCCCAACGCGTTCTAGGTCTTCCGTCACCGAAACGTCGGCCAGTATGTGGAATCCAACGTGTAAGCATGTCTGTCCATCTTTCATCGCCTTCTTTGCCAAGTATTCTTCCAGCAAATCGCCATTTTCTTCGACGAGCTATTGCGACTACATCTTTCAGTTTCGTGATAGAACGTATCCATTTTGAAGATTTTTGGTCTTTTAAGCGAAATCTTAGCATTGATCGTTCCATCGCTCTTTGGCATCGAAGAAGTTTCAGCAGCGAATTCTTAGTCACCGCCCAAGTTTCGCAACCGTATAAAAGCGTTGGAAGTATCACGGTATTAAAGTAACGGCGTTTGAGATGAACAGCAACATTTCGACTGCTGAGAAATTGTCGTACTTTTCCAAATGCATTCCACGCCGCACTTATACGTCTGGAAATTTCTTTATCATGACTGCGTGGGCATTGAATTAGCTGTCCAAGATAAACGAAGCAATCTACACGTTCAATGACTTTGAAGTTCAGTGTGATTATCGAGCTCGTCCAAGTGTTGTCTCTGTCTTCGCCCATCCACTTGGTTTTGTGGCCATTAATTTGAAGTCCTATTCGAAAACATGCATGTAGAAGCTTTACAGCCATTGATTCCAAATGACTTGGACTGAGACCTATGAGTACAATGTCATCCGCAAAAGCAAGGTAACGTAAACGTTTTCCACCAATGTCATATCCTTCTCCTTCTTCCCACTGTATAGATTCGATCGCGTACTGCAGACATGTGATGAAAATGAGCGAAGACAATGCATCGCCTTGACGGACTCCTCTATGTATTTTGAAAGACGAGTTGATGTTGTTAAGTTGAAGTGAGGCTGTTGCGGTTTGATATAATAGGTGTATCATCAAAATCGTGTCACTATCTACTCCAAAGTAGGCAAGAGCTTCCCAGATTGCGTTAAAGTTAATAGTATCGAAAGCTTTTTCAAAGTCGAAGAAAAGAAGTGCTATTGGTAGATGGTATTCATGGGTCTTCTCAATAAGTTGGTTGATTGTTTGCAAGTGGTCGGTAGTTGAAAACGTTCTTCGAAAACCGGCTTGCTCAATGGAAAGACGTTTATCTACCTTTTCCTCTATCCGGTGGGCCAAAGCTCTTGTCAAAACCTTATATGATGAGGGTAAGAGGGAGATCGGGCGGTAGTTTTTGATGTCATACCGATCGCCCTTCTTGTGGAGTAGAATCATGGAAGCATGTGCAAATTCATTGGGTATGCTACCTTTCTCGAACATTCGGTTGATGATATCTGCTAATTGTGGTGCAACAGTCTCTACTCCATACTTCGCAGCTATAGATCCCATCGATGCCTGGGGCAGTGTTCCCGCGAATTTTTGAGGCAGCTATCCTCAACTCGTCCGCAGTTATTGGGTAATTTACGATTCGGTGGGTGTGAGGCTGAATAGGATTGTCGCGTATTCCGTAAAGCTCAGCAAAGTAAGTAGTAGCGAGTAAACCAGCTTCGGTGGAGTTGGTTGTTAGTGTCCCATCTGGCCGGCGTAGCTGGCAGATAGTTTCTCGTTGATGAACAAGCTCAAGACGGCCACGCTTTATACGGTTGACTCGAATGGCACGCTTCAGAACAGAAAGATGATGTTGATGAAGATCGTCTTTTATTGACCATCTGGCAACCTTGCAAACAATGGAGTATTCAACAAAGTCGAAAGAACTCTTCTGTCTTATCCCGTACTTCATTTCACGTCTCAAACGAAGAATGGATTGGGTTCTATCGGATATCCGTTTTAGCGGTTCCCAGTGAACTTCTGCATGAGCAGCAGCCTTCTGTATTGATGTACGTAGTTGCAACCAAGAGCTCACCGGATCATTCGATATCAGAGTTGATGAAATTTCATTTACTCGGGGATCATTAAGTAAAGCTGTCTTCATTTCGAGCTCGCAATAATCGGGAGGCAGTCGAGCAAAACGTACTTTACTGTGCATGATCCGGATGTCGACATCAGCCCGGATAAGTCTATGGTCACTTCCAGCATTAAATTTGTTGAGAACGGCAATATTAGTTACTATCCTTGGTTGGCGTGTCAATACGTAATCTATCTCTTCCAGTACTTGTCCATTGGGAGATCGCCAAGTCCATCTTCGTCTCTGAGGCCTTTTGAAAAAGGAATTCATTACATAGAATTTTTCAGACTCGCAAACTCAAGCATGGCCTGCCCTTTACTATTCCGTATTCCAAGACACTTGTCGCCGACATATTCGCTTCGTGGCCCATCTCTTCCTATACGCGCGTTAAAGTCGCCAACCAAAATGTCATAGGTGTATCGTTTTTGTGAAAGTGCGCATCGATGTTCTTTTATAAATTCTTCATAATCATTCTCCTGCCATGGCGCATAGGCTATAGAAACCCGCATAGACCTTCCCCGCATCCGAAAGTGGATCTGTATAAGGCGTTCCGAGACGAAGGTTGCTCCTACGCAATAACGATGAATGCGCTCATTCACTAGTATGCCGACTCCTCTTCTAGTGGCTTCTCCATTTGTTCGTCCACTATTATAGAAGTGTAAGTTCGAGAAGCTTCGTTTCGTATAAGAAGCGCCGCTGCGACGAGTTTCGCATAGTCCGACAATGTCAAATTTTATCATACTTAGTTCCTCCTCTAGCGCAACTAATCTTTCCTCACTACACAGAGAACGAGCATTGTAAAAACATACGCGTAACTGTTCTTGTCGTCGTTGGGTCCTGCGTTCTTTGGTATCTCGTCTTGGCATCCTTCGGCGGACCAGCCACGGTTTCTTCCACCGAACTTCTTCTTGACTATCCTCGATCGTTGGTTAGATCAAAGCAGCAGAATAAGCCGACCGTTCGGGGGGACGTTGGTGACAGAAGTAACGTACTATATAAGATTCAATAAACGTGGTGATCAGCAAGGTGAGTGACTACATCGCAAAAATAATTATGGTTCCAAATCTCCATAAAATTAAAATCACACATAGTTGCCTGTAAAAACACAGACTGGCTATATCTCTAGATAGAAATGAGGTACAAGAAAAATTTGGCACCTTGTGTCAGTTATTTTCAGAGGTGAATCTATTCATTATTTGGCTTGACATCCGGCTTCGAGCTCTTTCATAAAAACTGATTAAGTCAGATTTACCCACACATTGTTTTGGCTGCTCCTATAGATTTCGTGTGCGAGCAGCAGCTGCACTTTTCTTGTTTCTTACAGATATTAAGTTATCTGATTATGTAGCGATTACAGCTTTTTATATTATAACAGATGCTGAATAATTATCCGGATATAAATCATTAATAATACCATCATATAATAATACCATATAATTATGATAAATCGTTGTTCGCAAAATAATGTCGGATAGAGTTTCGTGCGATATTGCGGCAGAGTAAGCACACGAA